GACCAACCCCCATTCCAACTCCCTACCTACACTCACCTTTACTGGCTTCATCCCCGCCTCCTTGACCTGTCCGTCCTCTCTCCACCTATCTGCTCCACTATCCACCTTCTATCATCGCCTCCCCCTCTCTCTATTTATTTCAGAGCCCCTTTCCCCTCCCCCATTTCTGAAGAAGGGTCTAGACCCGAAACGTCAGCTTTCCTGCTCCTCTGATGCAGCTTGGCCTGCTGTGTTCATCCAGCTCCACACCTTGTTATCTCAGACTCCAGCATCTGCAGTTCCTACTATCTCTCATTTTTAAATTAATGTTGTGACTGATGGAACAATGAGACAAGAAAAAGACAGCACACCCCTCCCATTTTGGTTGTAACAATAGACAACGAACAAAGTACAGTTCAATTGAGTAATTATAAAAAGAACAATCAATGCACCAGGGTTTGATATCTAATGCGATAGAATTGCAAAACAAAGGCATTTTGCTAAATCTACGTCCAATCTTCATTGTATCTTGATGTGCTACGTACAGTTCTGGTCACCAGAGGGCTGTAGGGGCAGAGTCCTTGTGTATATTTAAGGCTGAGATGGATAGATTCTTGATCAGTTGGGGAATCAAGGGTTATGGGGAAAGGGCAGGAAAGTGGACATGACCAATGTCGGATCAGCCACGATCCTATTGAAAGACAGAGTAGGCTTGAGGGGCCTGTTCCTGTTTCTTATAATGTAGATTTGGATTTTATTTTCACATGATCTCAAGTACAGGAGTACAGTGAAAAGTGTATAATGTTGCCACACATGGTGCCATCTTAGATTCAAAGGTACCTAGGTGCAAAAAGCATAGGTATGACGTAGCAACAGAAACAAAGTTAAACATTATCCTCATAGAGTAAGTACAAAAATAACAAAATAAGGTAATAGTTACCATTAAAGTCTTTCTTAATTTAAACCAGAAAATAAAGGACTTAAGTTAAAAGTTCAACATTCCCTTATATGGAGTTATTGAGGCTTAAAGGGTGAAAAAAAGTCAACACGATGAGACCAAAAACTTTGAGGTTATGCTTATCTTGATGGGATTGAAGTCTTTAAAATTACTAAATATTCTGACAGTATAGGAACAGACACTGTGTTTCCACCAGTGGGAAAGAGCAAGACTGTAGTCCATTGTTAGTCACCAGGAAAGCAAAAAGAAAAGAGACTGTTTAGAAGGGTGGAATTCAGCTCAACAGGGAGACTAGCTGAAGGCAATAGCAGATATTCCTGAAGGGAGGTTCGATAAGCATCTGAGGGGAAGGGAAAAGCTGGTTGTGGTGATAGATTTAATTGAGGAAGGATAGTGGAGGTTCATTGGAGCATACATCAGCTGGCTCAAATGGCCTGTTTCCTGTTGTGTGTTCCCTCCGTGATTCTCTGGAACAAAGCTAAGATATGAGCTTGGCAATCTGGACGTTTTCACACAAAATCTGCAGCCCCATCTCTGCAAAAGGCTGAGAATCAATGGTCCCTTCAAACTCCACGTTCGCACAAAACACCACACTGTCTGATTGATGTGCCAATGTATAATGTCTGCTTCCGGATGCTACTGTGCGTATGGGCCTCAGAAGTCTGGGCAGCAGCAGGAAAAATTGGAAGGAACGTTGCTGAGGAAGGTTCATTGATTGAGAGTTTGAGACCAAGACTGATGAGATTTTGATGGCTAAGGGCTATCGAGCAGAGATGTATATATAGAGTTGAGGTCCAGGTTAGCCATGGTCCAATGGATTGGAGGAATAGCCTCAAGGGGCCTACTCCTAACCCATTGTCCCTTGAACCCAAAATGGGTTTTATTTAATCAGAAGAGATCACCCTGCCGTTTGCATCTGGAAAAAAAGCTGGCACTTTCAGATAGAACCCTTGCAGGGGTGTGTCACCTACCTGTCAATCTGGCTGAGGTGCAACTGAGGGCTAATGGATTAATCCAGAGAGATGACAATGGGTGGCCATCTTATGTGGAGGCCCTGTGGCACGGTCTGTAGTGTCCCATCTCTGAGCCAGAAGCTCAGGGCCAAGTCCCTCTGCACAATTTAATAGCCAAGGAAGAGGTATCCATTACACGGTCAGACAGATCGATTGTCGACCCCTAAATCTTTCCAACACATACCAATGACAGGCAGTAAGAGTGGGCAAGGTTCCTGGTCAGCCAAGTGATGGAGAGCAATTGGAGCCATGACCATCCCTATATATATAGCTCCGAATGCAAAATGCATTGAAAGGTGCAAGTTGCTGCAGCAGTGTGGGCTCCTTGGGGATGCTGGACGATGGGAATGGACCAGACTGGTGCTACAGCACAGGTTTTGATCCCTATTCTGACTGGGGCAGATTCAAAGATGGGTCCAGTGATGTGCAGGTTAGGTAAATTGGCCATGCTAAATTGCCCATGGAGTCCAGGGATGTGCAGATTAGGTGGATTAGCCATGGGAAATGCAGGGTGACGGGGATAGGGTGAGGGAATTGGTGAGACTCAATGGGCCGGATGGCCTTTTTCTGCATTGTAGGGATTCTATGATTCGGGACCAGCCTCCTCACCCTATCCAGGATGAAGGTGGCAGCATGAAGAGTTGGACCTGCCTTTGGCTAGAGAACTCAAGAAGAAGCAGCTCAGAAACCTGAGACTGACGCACACATTAGCAAACTATGTTCCTCAAGATCCATGCTAAGCAGTAAAATACTGGAAGAAAATTGAGAATCTCCTACCTTTGTCAATGGCCTGGCTAAATGCAACATAGTTTACATCTCCAGTGGTTGGATCTTCAAATTTTCTGCACAGCAGGTTGAAATCTGTTGGCAGCACACTCAGCCCCAGGTAATCCAGCCCCCTCTCAAACTGTGACCTAGTCAGGAGTCTTCTGTATGTAACCTTCTGTTGAATTGAAAACAACATGTAGGAATTAGTGAGGCCCAATGTGGTGCAATTTTAACCATTTGGGTCAGGCCTCTGGGTATAATGGAGGGGAGTGGACTTTTAATTCATTCACAGGATGTGGGCATCGCTGGCCAGGTCAGCATTACTTGCCCAGCTCTAATTGTCCTGAGTGAACTTAAGAGTTAATGTTGCTGTAGGTCTGGAGTGATATGGAGGCCAGACCAGATAAGGATGGCAGATTTCCCTTCCTAAAGAATATTAGTGAGTCAGATGGGTTTCTCTGACAATCGACAATGGTTTCACAGTCATTCTTAGGCCATCAATTCCAGATCTTATGAAATTCAAATTCTTCTACTTAAAGACTTATAAATATTGCATTGCTGACCTTACATTGCCTTTATCACTCCTCACCCACTTCTAGCTTTAATGAGACTGGAATTGGATCATAGACTAACCCAATCCAATGAGCTAACCGACAGCTTTAACGATGCTGCAAGCCCTATCACTATTCAGGTTCCCTGAACTCTGAATGATCCAGCAACTGCACTCAGCCAAGACCTTGCAGGTGAGTGAGTTTACACCTGCTCCCTAGATTTTGTGTACGTGCCGAGAAATCCCCTTCAGCCAGCACCATGAGACTATAAAATATAGGAGAAGAATTAGTCCATTCAGTCCATTGTGTCTGCCTCACCATTCCACCATGGCTGATAGTCTTCTCAATTCCATTCTCCTACCTCTCCCTATAATCCTTAATCCATTTACAAATCAAGAACCTATCTATCTCTGTCTTAAATGAATTGGCTCCACATCTCTCTACAGCAATGAATTCCACAGATTCACTACCCTCTGGCTTTAAAAAATCCTTCACATCTCAGTTCTAAAGAGTCATTCCTTCACTCTGAGGATGTGCCCTCAGGTCCTAGTCTCTCCTACTAGTGGATACATCGTCTCCAAGTCCACTCCATCCAGGTCTCTCAGTATTCTGTAAGTTCCAATCAAATTGCTACTCATCCCTCTAAAATCCATTGAGTACTCAACTGCTCCTCATATGACAATCCCTTCATTCCCAGGATTGTTCTTGTAAATTTCCTCTGGCCCCACTCCAACGTTAGCACATACTTCCTTAGATACGGGCCCAAAACTGCTCTCAAAATTCCAAATGTGATCTGACTGGAGCAATATACAGCCTCAGTAGTACACCTCTGTTCTTGAATTCTAGCCCTCTTGAAATGAATGCCAACATTGCATTTGCCTTCCTAATTGCCAATTGAACCCATGTGTTAGGAAGGCAAATGCAGTGTTAGCATGGCCTTCCCTGGAAGTCTTCCATTCCCTTCCATGTATCCCCAGAGGCCCCCATTACGACCTCCCCACGTACCTCTGTCTCCAATCCTCTTCAATGTCCAGATTATCCACCTCTCTCCGAATGTCCCAACACCTTCACCTAACAATTCCAATGGCATAGGTATGTTAAAATCCAGGCCTATGTTTCAGGCCTTCAGTTGAATGTGGATATGAGACTGAAGGAATGGAGGGGGTGGGGGTGTCCCATATTGTAACAATTCTGAAAAAGGGGCAAACAAGCCAATGTTTGTAAGTGGAGGAAATTTCAAACTTTGAGACAAAGCAGGAGGTGATGGCCTAATGGTATTATCACTGGACTGTTAGTCCAGAGACCCAGATAACATTCTGGGGACCTGGGTTTGAATCCCTCCACAGCAGACGGTGGAATTTGAATTGAATAAAAATATCTGGAATTAACAGTCTAATGACAACAATGAATCCATTGTCAATTGTCAGGAAAAACCCAACTGGTTCACTAATGTCCTTTAGGGAAGGAAACTGCCATCCTTACCTGGTCTGACCTACATGTGACTCCAGACCCACAGTAATGTGGTTGACTCTAAACTGCTCTCTGAGCAATTAGGGATGGGTAATAAATGCTGCCCTAGCCAGTGACGTCCCTCATCCCATGAATGAATTTTAAAAAAAGATTAAATTACCATGAAGCTACATAAAGGGGAAATGGTTTACAGTGTTCAGCACTGGTAAGAGACAAATGGGAATACTGTCTAAATGTGAGGCAATGGGGGAGTAAACAAGCAAATGGTTTTAGATTCATAAGTCAGTAAAACCTAGTTCATTGGCAGTGAAATAGCCACAAATAGTAGGTGTCATCCCATGAGGTACAGGCTATGAAAGCAAATTATAACGAGTGATGTTGTTCAAAGCTCATTTGGAATATTCTGATTATAGATTATTGGAAATTCACTTGAAAGTTATGAAGAATATACGGCATGATGCCTCTGGAATGAAGGAACTTAATAATGATGCGGATTTGGATAAATGTTTTCGTTATACTGTCTGTAGCTCGGGAGGTTAATGGGTGATTGGGGCATTTGATATAAAGAGGGGATTGATAGTGTAGTTACAGAATCTTGACCAATTGCTAGGGAAATTCATATCTTTGAAAGCTCTGAAAGTATTTTCAAGTGAAGAGATGTGCCCTCACCTTATCAAAATCTTTGAAGAATGGAGTCACCAAGAGTTGTCGCTTCTCCACTTGCTGAGAAAGTTCTTTGAGCACCTGAGCCAGCCGTTTCTCTTCTTTGTCTGTTAGATTTTCTCCAAGCTGTGGGGAGAAAGGAACAATATGTGTCAGTGAACCTTAACCCTTGATCTTTATAAATCATCAGTTAGCAAATGTCTTGTGTCTTGAAATTTGGGCACCATTATATGGGAAGGACTTCAAGGCCTTAAAGAGAACAGAGAAGATGACCACCGGAAGTGGGGTCTTTATGGAGAGACTAGAGAAGCTGGGATTGGCTGTTTTAGATCAGAAAAAGTGAAGGGGAGATTGAATTTTCTGATGAAGGGTCTAGGCCCGAAACGTCAGCCTCTCTGCTCCTGTGATGCTGCTTGGCCTGCTGTGTTCATCCAGCCCTGCACCTTGTTGTCTCGGATTCTCCAGCATCTGCAGTTCCTACTATCTCTGGGAGATTGAATAGATGTGTTCAAAATTAGCAGGGGATTTGTTGATAGAGATAAGGGAAACTGTTCCAGCCAATATCCAGTGGGAGCAAGCTTAAAATAATTAGTAAAATACCAGTAGTACAAACAGAGAATACAGCTGAAGAGAAGCAAGAAAGGCTGGATCCAGCAGGAAAGTGTCTTTATGTTATGGCTTGTGATCCTAGAGGATCTGAGAGGCGGCACAGTGGCTCAGTGGTTAGCACTGCTGCCTCACAGCACCAGGGACCCGGGTTTGATCCCACCTACGGGTGACTGTGTGAAGTTTGCACATTCTCCCTGTATCTGCGTGGGTTTCCTCCGGGTGCTCCAGTATCCTCCCACAGTCCAAAGATGTGCAGGTTAGGTGGATTGGCTGTGCTAAATTGCCCGTAGTGTTCAGGGATGTGTAGATTAGGTGGGTTATAGGGGGATGGGTCTGGGTGGGATGCTCTGAGGGTTGGTGTGAACTTGTTGTTCCGAAGGGCCTGTTTCCACACTGTAGGGATTCTACAAGGATCCAAAAGCTTCCTCTAACCATCACCAATTAAACCTGTTTTTTTCTGCCTTTGACCCCAATGCACTTCTGGTCTTTCCACCTCCCTTTTTTCCCTTTTCCCCACATCCCACCCAACCTGTAATCTCTCTAAAACCTCCCCCCTGCCATGACCCCCTCTGCTGTCTGCCAGTGGTCATCCAGCACAGGCTTTCCCACTCAACAACCAATCAGAATTTCATTCTGACTGCTTACTAGCCAGAAACAGAATTAAAGAAACCATGAAAAGAATTTGGCATTAAGCTCAGCCTCAGCGTCCTCTACCCCTCCCCTGCCACTAAATATTGGGGTCGACGTCTCCATCATAGTCATTATTCAGTTAAGACACACATTCCCATGAATATTAACTCTTTCTAAAGATGGGCCATTTTGAAATTTAACTTGAATCTTATTTGAATGTCTTTTCTAAATAAAGCTTCACGAAGGAAAATTCCTAACGAGTGGCGTAATCTTCAACTATTTAAATGCAATACACCCTTCAAACCATAAAGGAAGCATGCCTATCAAGGTTGTGAGCTAGCCATACTACAGTGTCAGGACATGAAAGGATTCTTCCTCCCATCCCCACTGTAAAACACAAACCTACACTATTTACAAATTGAATTACATGCGCGTAAATATCGTGTTATAGGCCAGGACTTTATCAGTCCATTGAAAACAGGTTGACAGGCAGGAGGGGTGATAAAATGGCAACATAGGGTGTCAGGACAGAAGCACAATGTCTTTGTGCTGCCTAGGATATATCCATTGGCGGGATCAGGAGTGGCTCATTCTCCCACTGGCCGGAAGTGCGGACTGACCAATTCATCCATGTAACAGGTCTGTTAGCTGCTTTGTTACACAATGCTGGGATTTTACTGACTTCATTCTTCCACACCTCCTGAGGTGGGTCCATGAGGTGCATTAAGGCAAATTTCCAGGGGTGTTGTGGGGTGGAAGGGAGATGTGGTGAGGGGATCTCAAATCCCAGAGCTTTCATAAAAACCGAAAGAACTGCGGATGCTGTAAATCAGAAACAAAAACTGAAATTGCTGGAGAAGCTCAGCAGGTCTGGCAGCATCTGTGGAGAGAAATCAGAGGTAACGTTTTGGGTCCAGAGACCCTTTCCCAGAGGTTTCATGCCTCATTGTAGTGCCTCCTCAATGGCAATGACCCCTCCAATGTTGGTATTGGAGGGCTTTTTCATCTCTGACAGCCTGAGGCCTTCCTGCCTAGCGTCCCCAGTTTAAAACATGGAGGCATTCTCCACTTCTTCCTGTAGTTGAGCTATTAACAATGAGGAAGACCACATTCAGTAACTGGACAGGCATTCCACTGTGACCTCCAAAGGGACCTATGGCATGTCAATAACCCATAGAGACCTAATGGTGTAGAGTGAGGCCATTCATCCCACCACGCTTCCCTGCTGTGCACCGATGTGATGCATCACTTAGTTGGGACAATAACTACACTACCTCTTCACTGAACCCATTAGGTTTCACTTGGAAATGTCATGTTAATCTAACAATCCTTCGCTCTTCAGGAATTAATTAACTCTGTGGGTACTTTATTTAAAGCAGTTAAACAAGTCTGACTCATGAAACAGACATGATCAGTTCTGAGAGTGCAGCTTAAGAATGCACAAGAGACAATTGGGCAGGCAGAGTCACAATATTGTATATACACAACATGTGGAGTCGTTACAGCAAAATGTCTTAAAGGAAAGTTACACATGCAACAGAGATGTTTGAAAGCTCACCTGGAACAGAGTGCCTCTTGGTGGCCTGCATACCTCTGCTGTGGGATATTTTTCCAGGTGAGGAACGTTATATGCTGAGGAAAGAAATTTTTTTTTAAATACCACCTTGACAGTGTCACACGCAGACATGAAAAAAAATCTATTCAGGTACATTTAACTCCAAAAGGTGGTTACAATGTTCTTGTTTGATGGCCGCTGTGTTCACGATATAGATCATCTCCAAGGTTAATTAGTCCTCTAACTACCTGCAAATTGAGCACTTGCATTTATAGAGTCTTTCTTATCACAAGAACAGGTACTTGGCATAGTGTGGAGATGAGTATTACACAGCAAATGGGGGTACATGGGAATCCAACACATACTAGGAGATAACAAGGTGTAGAGCTGGATGAACACAGCAGGCCACGCAGCATCAGAGGAGCAGGAAAGCTGGACCCTACTAGGAGAAATCGATTTTATAGGTAGGGACAGCCAGCCAGATGGATTGGTGATACAGTTAAAGAGGGGCAATTCTGGCTGGTGATTGTAGTATCAAATGATTAGTTTGTAATCATGAAGCACATGGGGCAAGAAGCAGAGATGTACAGAAAGCAAACATGCTCTCTTTCTCCTCAGCAGCTGAATCTATCCCCTCAGCACTTCTACACACTTCTTAATCCTTAACATGACTTCCCAGTTTTAAGAGAATATTTTATGTTCAAATTAGATCAAGGGCAGTTTGTGCTGTGTGGATTGAGGATCTCTTATCTTTCTTTACTAATAGTCCACACCAGAAATTAAAAATTGTCAAAATTTCAACCATCCATCTATCAAAAAACTGGTGTGCACCACAGTCTCATTTAAGCTGAAGGAGCTTGCAGTGTTTCCTATTTCCAGTAGTCTGATTGGTTAAAAGTGTCAAAATGGCCATTTTGGTTGTCTCTTTCAAGCCATTGTATTAGATGCAGGTTATCAAGTGACTGGAACAAATTATCTTGTAATTGATTGGCAGGATCTCAGTCTCCGCTGAGGCAAAATGGCCTGATTGACTGAGCAGACTAGGCGTGTCATCACTTTTTATTTCCCTCCTCTATAACTACAGACATTTAGAATGTAACCTGAATGATACTGAAGAAGTCCCACTCACCGTGTGCCATCACATCACAGAAATCGCGATAACGCACTTTGCCATCTCCTGTGCCAAAGCACTTGAGAAGTGTTTGGATGTCTTGCTCTGTTAAGATGCCTTCCTTTCCACAAGTCAGATATAAACCTCGCCTAAACTGTGGAAAATGGTGAATAATAAAACAGTTATTACCCTATGGTGTAAATAACATACTCTGTTCCATCCATCAACAATTACCTGTACACTTGGAGTAGTTACTGTCATAAGCATTGTCATTGGGCTCTTTTTTTTACAAAAAAGAGTATTTATGTCATGATAATAGATCACAGCTCCAAATTACTTAGTTAGTGAATGATTAAATAAGACAAGTTGTTTCATTTTATCAGAAAAATGATAGTCAAGCCTAAGATAACTAAGAATGTAATTTGGTGGCTGTCTGGAAAATGGTGTGGCTTGCATGCAGCTTTGTGAGAGAGCATGGAATATTACACCCAGAACAATGTCAAGGAATTTCAAAAAATACACTGTCAGGGAGAGATCCAAAGCAAAAAAAAAACCTAAATGTCTCCTGCTAGTTATATCCATAGACCATTGACATAAGGGTGGAACGGTGGCTCAGTGGTTAGCACTGCTGCCTCACAGCGCCAGGGACCCAGGTTCAATTCTAGCCTTGGGCGACTGTCTGTGTGGAGTTTGCATGTTCTCCCTGTATCTGCGTGGGTTTCCTCTGGGTGCTCCAGTGTCCTCCCACAGTCCAAAGATGTGCAGGTTAGGTGGACTGGCTATGTTAAATTATCCATAGTGTTTAGGGTGGGAAATGTGGGGGTGGGTCTGGGTGGGATGCTGTTCAGAGGGGCAGTGTAGACTTGATGGGCTGAATGGCCTGTTTCTGCACTGTAGGGATTCTATGATCCATAATGTGAAGGACCAGAAAGAAATCTGGGCAAAAGACATGCTTATATTCCCCTCCGCCAAGGAGTGGGAGAAGGGAATAAACGCCACTTCAGGTAAGTGCTTGTCTGATGTTCTCATGTGCTAGTATGTGCTGTGAAGGTTACAGCTAATGAATATCTGGGAGATACCCTGCAGGCAATGGAAAATCTTTCTGTATTTTTCTCTGATTGATGGAAGCAAGTCACCAGTCAAAAGCCACAATTGAACAGGAATATGAACAACTTCTTTTGACTAATCTGCAGAACACAGAATCTCCAAACCAACTGCTCAACAGCCAGCATCAATGCCACCAGAACCACCCAACATAGTGGCTGCAATGTTTCACCGTCTACGTGGAAAAACCAAATACTGATTTGTAAATCTTTTTAATGTCACTTTTTAAAATTCTCATTTCTAATATGTACGGATGTGTACTGCATTTTAATTTTCCTTACATGGAGTTACAAGGTTTTCGGAGGTAGATGGGAATGTGCATTTAATGTTACAATCATATTGGTCATGATCTTATTAAATGATGAAGAAGCCTGGCAGGGCTGAATGGCCTGCTCCTGCTCCTGATTTGTACGTTCATATGTTATTGAATCATAGAGTCATACAGCTCTTTGACTGCATTCAGTTCACTCCATGTGATATCACAAATGGCTGAAAATGCTGGACAATGCAAAGGCTATGGGCCCTGGCAACATTCCAATAATAGTAATGATGACTTGTGTTCTAGCACTAAGCACACCCATAACTAGACTGTTCCAGTACAACTATAATGCTAGCATCTACCTGGCAATGTAGAACATTGTCCTGTGTAAAAAGAGCAGGATAAATCCAATCTGGCCAATTGCTGCCACATCAGTTATGTAATGGAAGGAACATTGCTTTCAAGCTGCACTTGCAAAGGAGTAACCTGCTCACTGACTCACTCTTTGGGTTCCACCAGCATCACTCAGCTATATAGCCATGGTTCAAATGTAGAAAAGAGTTGACTGCAGAGGTGAGAGGGGAATGGCCGCTCTTTACATCAAGACAGCACTCAACCAAGTACAGCATCAAGGAGCCCGAGCAAAACTGGAGTCAATGGGAGTCGGTGAAAAACCTTCTGTTGGCTAGAGCCAAAGATGCATCAAAATCCCAAAGTTTTGAACACTGAAAGTGACTGGCTGTTAACAACAACAAAAATGAGCTGTCTGAAATTCTGGGTAGAAGAGAATTCTGGTTGGTAGAATGCAAAAAACACAAAGTTTACATACTTAATCAGCTACAGAGCATTTTGAGTTGTCCAATGATTATGAAAAGTGTTATTTGCAAGTCTTGCTTTTCTTAAAGTCAAGTTTACATTAGGACATTCCCCCAGATGGTGCCATGTGTGGTGACATTGTACACATTTCACTGTACTCCTTTACTTCTGTACTTGAGTCAACGTGACAATAAAGCTTAAATCAGATGCTGCCCGGAGTTAAATTTTGCAACATTCAATTACCCTTCAAAAATGTTCAAATTGGCTCTGTAAAAATTACAGTTCAATGCACTTGTGTTTTTTTTCCTGAATGGTACTACTCAGGTGCTAATGGATATAGTCACAGTCTCTGTCACTGCCATTGCTATTGCTGGAGAGAGACAGTTTAAAAAGCAAAATGTGAGATATGAATAGGGGTAGACAGAATTACAGAGATATTGCAACACTTAATAGGAAGGAACAGGTGGAGAGGAAACAGGTTGAGGGTGACCTATCACGACCTCTGTGGGGGTCAATTGGGAACGAATGTACTACTGATGGAGGAGGGATGAGGAGAGTGACTGGGAAATAAAAGTGAGCACACAAGAGTGAAGCAAGTTGTTCTGAGGTGAAGAATTTGGGATAGCAAGAGCAAGGGATAGTTAATGGAGTGAGGGTTGATAAGGAAGAGGATGCTGAATGGCAGAGGGGTAAGATGCACAATGGGGGTATGGTTGTGAGTTGCGCCCTATGTATTAGGGAGAGAGATGGAAAGACCACATTTTCTATCCAGACTTTCTTCATGAAGCACTGACCCTTCATTACTCCATCACAACCCATCACCTTACACCTGACAGGGGAGGAAAGAGAGTGAGAGGCAGAACAGAAGAGGGAGAACACAAAAAAAGGATGTCAAAGACAAGAGAGAAGGTATAAAAGATAGAGTGCACTTCTCCAACTGATGGTGGTCAATGCCACTCAGACTTGTTCACGTGCATTGACTATAATGGGAATATCACTGTTACTGTAGCTGTCTGCATGGGGAACATCCACATGGTGCACAATTGCTTATAGACAGTTTCAGTTTTCAATATGGATTATGAAGGGATGTGGAACTAAGGTAGATGATCTGAAGAACTGGTGGAACACACTTGAGGGGACAAATGACCTCCTATTGCCCTTATTTTGTATGTTCATGTGTTTGTAATCAACTTACTTGGTTGCACAATACTCTTTGCTCACCTGACTTTCTGTGATAAGCCCACTGCGCAGTTTGTCATAATCCTTGAAGAACTCTGAAGTTCGGATCCCCCTCAGGAATACAATTCTTCGGAGTTTGTCAAATACCTCAAGAATCTCAGATGACTTGGGTATCTGTAAATATTTTCCAAACCGAATCAGTTTCTGTTTTCAGTCACTGCTGTGGTTAGCATATCTTTGTGCTTTGTTTTTACTGTGATGAATGAAGGTCATACAAATGAGGAATGTTTTCAGTCTAAAGTTTTTTAGTTTCGAGTAATCGCAGCTATTCCTATCAACAGGAACCTGATAAGGTGTTGGAGATGGTTTTCTTTATATTTGTCTATATATTTATTTATATAAATATCATCAAGTGCCCACAGGTTAGAATACCTAGCATGACCAAATATTGACCTGTGACACCCTTAGGGTTAAATAAAACACCACAATCCAAGCAGCTGAACCCCCAAAAAAATCAGAACACAATCATTAAAAAAATTAACCGCCAAAATCCAAAGGTCGCCATCATAATTGGCTATCTCTTGATTTGAGGATGGTGTCTGGTTTCTGCTAAGTGCCTTCAGATGTCTCCCCACTCCATCCACACATTGTGAGGGGTGGAGCATGGTGGCAGAGCTAATGCAGTTGGGACAATGTACAGACACCAGTCAGGGGACTGGGCACTTCTTGCCAGGGGCTGTCCAGTGAGGTCGATCAAGGGGATGGTCCACAGTCAGTATGTTGGGCCTATCCACAGATATGAAGGGGAAAGTGGAGGGGAACAAGGTGAGGTGGAGTGGGGGTGTGGAAGGAGACTCCGGAAGTTATTTTATTTTCCAGGATTGGAGACTACTGTCTGAAGAGAAAGTGACCGGGGTGAGTGATAATTGGAAAGGAGGGGGAGGCAGAGGCTGGAAGCCACTGACAAAACAGCACTCACTGTCACCTTCTATGGTTCTGGAAATCGAATGTGAGCAATGGGGAATAAATGGCTGTGGCTATACTCGGAATGTGCAGGGTAAGTACCTCGATCTGTGAGGAGGGCTATTACAGGGAAACAATATTACACACAGCCCCATGAGGACACAAACTGGCCCAATCCCAAATCCCTAGCCATTGTAAAGCATTGGCTCCCTGTATTGTGCACACCTCCCTGCCCCAGATATCAATGACCACCTCATTCACCCCAGCACCTTTGGACATAGACACTGGGGAAAGAATAGAGATGTTGTAAGAGGAGGGGCAATGGTGCCATTGGGACCCATTGTCCTGTATACACCTTGTTCATCTTGCTTTCAGATGCTGCAGGGAGCTTTCAACATAGACACTGATCCATGGTGTAGTGTGCATATGTGTATGGAGTTACATCTCATGCTGGAACTTCTCCATTATACAGAGAGTTACACAGAGAGAGACAAACAACAAGAAGTAAGGTCAAAGCAGTGCCATTAAGAAAAATGACAAATTATCGTCCATGTCACCAAAGTGACTTCCATAAGTTATCTTCTTCCTTTCCCTCTCACTGCGCCTTCATGTTGTCCCTGATTCTTCAATCAGTAAAGAGGGAGCCTGCTCAACTGTGGAGCCCATTGGATCTGGAAGGACCCATGGGGATGTTGGCATCTGGATAGCCACAGACGCAGCTGAGGGTCTTCTTGCTAGAGGCAAATAAACCCTCCATATTGCAACTTCTAAGGGATGAAGTGGGGATGGAGGCACAGACTAGGGTGGAGGTGGAGGGCCTAGCCACCTCTAGGGTGGCCTGAATGAAGACTTCTGAGGAACCTGTGTGTGGTTCCTCCTTGGATGGGGTGTCCCCAGCATTACCCTATCTCCTTGTGAGGAAGTGGTACCTGGAGAGCTCACCAGTCCCTGACAAACCCATGTTGCTGTGCCTTTGGTCCTGAGTCCAGTGGCTGTGGTAATGAAGAGTGTAGGTGTGTGTGAGCCTGTCCGGCAGACCCTGAGGAAGCCGGACCTGGCTCTCCAGGGCAACCGCCAATCCAACCAGCCAGTCACATGATTCACTGTGTTGGTGCAGCTTCTGGGCAGTGAGGGCCATTGCATCCCACATTTCTGTCTCTCCTGCACTGCTCCCATTCCACCCTGAACATGTGGACCAAATCCCTGAGTGCTGACACCGCTGAAGGTCGTTGACCTTCTTGTGACACTGCTGGCCATTCCTACAAACAGTGCAGATGGCACTGACCTGGGTGGCAACCTCGGACCAGGATGCCAAAGTATGGAGGCATGGCCTCCTCTGCCAGAACTCCTTTGCTCCACCCCATCCACTCGGAGCTCCAGGATCCTGCCAGAGAGATAAAGCACCATTTTCCCCTTCTCCTCGCTACAAATGTCCTTCGACAGAATGCCAGGGCTTATCTGGGTGCACAGAAAGATGGCGTGTGTGCAAGGGATGCTGGTCTTTTCAGCAAATATCTGCTGACGGGACTGTTGTTCCAGGAATGGCAGATGGTAAGACGAGGCTGGAATCAGATGTTTGTGGTGCCACGCAGTAGAGTCGGTAAATGAGGTGCATTGGGTAAGATGCTGCAACACATCCCATTGGGCCTCATGGCGAGAATCCCTCAAAAATCAAGGCACGACTCACATGTAGCCAAACAAAATGTAAGATGCAGCCCATAGTGATACAAAATGTGGGGCAGCTTGATGGACAAGCTGCTGCCATTTTCAACAAGCTCTTCCCAATCGATCATGTCAGTGCTGCTGCCCTTGGAGAAGAGCTTCAGAGTGTCAAACACCAAAAAAAACCAAACTCTGAAACCAAACTTAAACCTTGATGCAGCATCATACCACATACCTCAGGTGGCCAGTAGCCATAGGGAATGGGTGGTCTGCCAGTGTGATCAGTCTCCAAGGTCTTAATCCTGGCATGAATGTCGTTGTAAAAGTTAAGGTAGTTGAAGAAGCCAGGTTTGTCTGGGACTGTGTAGTGAGAGCCAATTATTGACACCATCTCATCTGTCAGACCAGTAGGACGTATCAAAGCACGCTGGAACTGAGGGAGAAATGGAAGCAAAAGTTCAGGTTAATCATAAATGGCCACATTATGTTAGGATATATTAACTCACTCAGGAAGTCAGTAGGCTGTCACACATTTATTTTGGATTTCTTCACATAATAGTGACCGAGTTTCAAAAGTAATTTTGTGGTCTGAGCAAATGACAATCAAATAGCATTCGTAATGCACAAATGCCAGGGAATGACCAACTTCAGCACAATCTAAACACCTCCCTTTGATGTTCCATAGCATTATCATCACAGCATTAACTTGAGGCAGGAGTAGGCCATTCGATCCCTCAAGCCCGCTCCATCATTCATAACCATCATGGTTGATCTTATCTTAGCCTCAACTCCATTTTCCTGCCTGCCCTCCGTAATCCTTCAACCCATTACTAATTAAAAATCTGTCTATCTCCTCCTTACATTTATTCAATGACCCAGCACCCATCGCAGTCTGTTGAATTCCACCTATTCACAATTGACATCTTGGGGCTTGCCACTGACCAGAAGCTGAACCATATGATAGGCACAAGTCAGAAATATGGTGGAAAACCCTCTATTTGCCCAAGTGAGTGAAGCTCCCACAAAACACAAGAAGTTGAATACCATCCAGGATTGGTTGACCAACACTTCATCCACTACCTTAAACATTCACTCCCTCCACCAACAACACTGTGTTGCAGCGGTGTGTACCATCTACAAGATGCACTGCAGCAATTCATCGACGTTCCTTCAGCACCTTATAAACCCATGACCTCTACCATCTAGAAGGACAACGGCAACAGATACATGGGAATACCACCCGCTGTAAGTTCCCCTCCAAGACAGAAACCATCCTGCCTTGGAAATATATCATCATTCCTTTACTGTCACTATGTCAAATTTCTGGGACTCCTTCCCTAACCAAACTATGGGTGTCCCTACATCATGGACTGCAGTAGTTCAAGGCAGTGGGAAACAAGAGATGGACAAAAAGGCTGCCTTTACCAATGATACTCACTAAAATGAAGTAGAGATTGCATCACCTCTTCACCATAGATTAAAGAAAAAGGAAAGATGTTTGACAGGAATGGCAAACGGATTGGTCGAATGTAATGTGGAAAATCCACACACACAGAGACTGTTCGGCTGAAGCAGTTGTCTTGTTGTTTCCAAGTAATTCAGTTAATGCAAAATCCATTCAGTTCTCAGTGTTGTAAAGTTACACCTTCGCATGGATGCTCCCATACGTGAAGCGAAACAGACCACTGCCTTGCCTATTAAAAATCACAAGAACTAGGAGCAGGAGTAGGCAATTCAGCCCCTCAATCCTGTTTCACCATTTGACACAATTGTTGTTGCTCTCATCTCAGTCTCAAATCCATTTTCCTACTCACTTTCCATAAACCTTCAACTCTACTAGTTAAAAATCTGTCTATCTCCTCCTTAAATGTATTCAGTGTCCTGGCATCCACTGTACTGTGGGGTAGTGAGTTCCAGAGACTCATGACCCTTTGAGAGAAGCAACTGCTCCTCTTCTCTGTTTTAAATCTGCTACCCTTATCCTGAAACTATGACCTTACGTTCTTGTTGGTCCCAGAAGGGGAAACATCTACATCTACTTTGTCAACCCCTTCAGCATCTTATATACCTCGATTAGATCTCCTCTCATTCTTATAAACTCTAGTTAGAATAGGTCTAAATACTTCCTCTCTCCACATAAAACAAGACTTTCGTCTTTGGAATTAATATAGAATTACTCTACTGAACCCTCTAAACATCGTTACATCTCTGCTTCAATGGGATATTGAGCAAACTAGATGTAAATACAAATAATACTCATGCTTGCAACTTTTACAACTAAGCAGCCACTTCATGCTCTGTGTAATATAATGTGCAACAGAGCTGGACAAAATGTGAAACACATGAAATTACTCACCTATAAATGCACAGTCAGTGCACAAAGTAAAATAACTTGCATCAAGCAGCCACAAAGTAATGGAACCAACGCTCTAAAATAAAATCAGGCCTAGGCCGAAGAAACAAATTCATTTTCTCTCTATTTTCCTCCTTCACCCCTGTCCCTTTGTAACCGATTTATAGCATTAAATTTGGGCAGATGCCACTCTGTTTCTAATGCATGTGGATTCCAAAACTCAGTTTAGTTTCCCAACTTGAGAGAATTGAACGATGAAAATTCATGAGCAGGAGACATTACACTGAAAGCCTAAACTCTGTAATAATGTGAGAAGGTATCAGGAAACCACGCAATATTCTAACGATTGGCAGTGAATCACTGTGCATTTTATAGGTTGGCATGGCACCCAAGTCGCACAGAATCGTTATCTATAATTATCTTATTGAATAACTATATATTCTCACCATAGGATTAATTGTAAATATATCGTTGTGCGTGATAAGGAATTTCGCAATCTTGGATCACAGACATAATAAAAACAAACAACTCTCTGAGTGTTCACTTTAAAACAAACATAAGGTTTTGCTGGCGTGTATGTTATCACTGAAGCCATATCCTGCTATGTGAGAGAAACTAATCTTACAGCCTTCATCTTCACAAAGAACCAGAAGCCCCAAGTCTTTTACAAAGCAAGCCATCTGCCTCTACTATTGGCTGCTTTTCTTCTGGGGAATTCACAAAGAACCTTAGAAATGATCCAGCACAGAAGGGGGCCATTTGGCCCATCTTGTCCATGCCGATCCAAAGACACCCAAACGACCTTTCTAATCATATATTCCCGCACACAGACCATAGCCCTGCACCTTACAGCACTTAAGGTGCAGGTTCAGGCATTTTTAAAAACAGTTTAGGGTCTCTGCCTCCACCACCAACTCAGGCAGTGCAAAAACCTACCCTGCTCCGCCCACTGCCAACGCCGACATTGCTCCGCCCACCGCCTCCACAGCCAGCAGCTCCAGAGGAGACAGTAACACCCAGCCCTGCCGGGTCTTCACCATCCCCCCAGACCTCCCCCTTACTGAGAACAAACGGTCAGTCCTCAGTAAAGGGCTCACCTTTGTCCCCCTCCACCCACACATCAACGAATACCGCTCACACTTGGACGTTGAACAGTTTTTCTGCCGCCTCCGCCTCCACGCTTACTTCTTTAACCGTGAACCTAACCCTCCCTCTACTGACCCCTCCTCCCGCCTTCAACACTCCCCCTCCTCCTGGACACCACCCCAAGGCCTCCTCCCCTCCCTCGACCTCTTCATCTCCAACTGCCATCGAGACATCAATCGCCTCAAACTCTCCACCCCTCTCACCCACTCCAACCTCTCCCGCACGGAACGTGCAGCCCTCCGCTCCCTCCGCTCCAATCCCAACCTCATCATAAAACCCGCGGACAAGGGAGGCGCAGTTGTAGTATGGCGCACTGACATTTACATCACCGAGGCCAGGCGCCAACTCTCCGACACCTCCTCCTACTGCCCCCTTGATCATGATCCCACCCCCGACCACCAAACCATCATCTCCCAAACCATCCATAACCTCATCACCTCAGATGACCTCCCACCCACAGCCTCCAACCTCATCGTTCCCCAACCCCGCACCGCCTGCTTCTATCTCCTTCCCAAAATCCACAAACCTGACTGTCCTGGTCGACCCATTGTCTCCGCCTGCTCCTGCCCCAACGAACTTATCTCCACTTATCTCGACTCCATTTTCTCCCCCTTGGTCCAGGAACTCCCTACCTACGTCCGTGACACCACCCACGCCCTCCACCTCCTCCAAAACTTCCAATTCCCCAGTCCCCAACACCTCATCTTTACCATGGACGTCCAGTCCCTATGCACCTGCATTCCCCATGCAGATGGCCTAAAGGCCCTCCGCTTCTTCCTGTCCCGCAGGCCCGACCAGTCCCCCTCCACCGACACACTCATCCGCTTAGCCGAACTCGTCCTCACCCTCAACAACTTCTCTTTCAATTCCTCCCACTTCCTACAGACAAAGGGGGTGGCCATGGGTACCCGCATGGGCCCAAGCTATGCCTGCCTCTTCGTAGGTTACGTGGAACAATCCCTCTTCCGTAGCTACACTGGCCCTAAACCCCACGTCTTCCTCCATTACATTGATGACTGTATCGGCGCCGCCTCGTGCTCCCACGAGGAGCTCGAACAGTTCATCCACTTCACCAACACCTTCCACCCCAACCTTAAGTTCCCTGGACCATCTCTGATACCTCCCTCTCCTTCCTGGACCTCTCTGTTTCCATCTCTGGCAACCACCTGGAAACCGATATCCATTTCAAGCCCACCGATTCCCACAGCTACCTAGAATACACATCCTCCCACCCACCTTCCTGCAAAAAAGCCATCCCCTATTCCCAATTCCTTCGCCTCCGCTCCCAGGATGAGGCATTCCACTCCCGAACATCTCAGATGTCCTCGTTTTTCAAGGACTGCAACGTCCCCCCCTCAGTGGTTGAGAATGCCCTCAACCGTGTCTCCCGCATTTCCCGCAACTCATCCCTCACACCCTCCCCGCAATAACAACTGAAACAGAATCCCCCTCATCCTCACGTACCACCCCACCAACCTCCGGATCCAACGCATCATCCTCCGACACTTCCGCCATCTGCAATCCGACCCCACCACCAAAGACATTTTTCCCTCCCCACCCTATCTGCTTTCCACAGGGACTACTCTCTCCGGGACTCCCTTGTCCGCTCCACACTCCCCTCCAGCCCCACCACACCCGGCACTTTTCCCTGCAACCGCAGGAAGTGCTACACCTGCCCCTACACCTCCCCCCTCACCCCCATCCCAGGCCCCAAGCAGACTTTCCACATCAAGCAGATGTTCACCTGCACATCTGCTAATGCGGTATACTGTATCCGCTGTTCCTGTTGTGGCCTCCTCTACATCGGGGAAACCAAACGGAGGCTTGGGGACCACTTTACGGAACACCTACGCTCGGTTCGCAATAAACAACTGCACCTCCCAGTCGCGAACTATTTCAACTCCCCCTCCCATTCTGCAGACGACATGTCCATCCTGGGCCTCCTGCAGTGCCGCAACGATGCGACCCGAAGGTTGCAGGAACAGCAACTCATATTCCGCTTGGGAACCCTGCAGCCCAATGGTATCAATGTGGACTTCACAAGCTTCAAAATCTCCCCTCCCCCTACCACATCCCAAAACCAGCCTAGCTTGTCCGCGCCTCCCTAATCTGTCCTTCCTCCCACCTATCCCCTCGTCCCACCTCAAGCCCCAACCCCATCTCCTACCTACTAACTTCATCCCGCCCCCTTGACCTGTCCGTCCTCCCTGGACTGACCTATCCCCTCCCTAACTCCCCACCTACACTCACCTTTACTGGCTCCATCCCCGCCTCTTTGACCTGTCTGTCTCCTCTCCACCTATCTTCTCCTTTATCCATCTTCTATACACCTCCCCCTCTCTCCCTATTTATTTCAGAACCCCCTTCCCCTCCCCCATTTCTGAAGAAGGGTCTAGGCCCGAAATGTCAGCTTTCCTGCTCCTCTGATGCTGCTTGGCCTGCTGTGTTCATCCAGCTCTACACCTTGTTATCTCACCGTCTGCAGCAAAATGTTTTTCCTCATGTCTCTCTAATCCATCTGGCACTTGGCTTGAATATATGGACCCTTTATTTCTATAAATTGGGTGTATTTGCAGTAACATTCTTATCTGTGGAGCAACAGGTACGCTTTGTGCTCCAAGGATCTTACTTTTCAGTGCCTTCCTCTCAATCATAGAATCTCTACATTGTGGAAGCAGGCCATTCAGCCCATTGAGCCCACACTGACTCTTCAAAGAGCATCCCACCCAAACCCACCCTCCTAGCCTATCCCTACATTTCCCATGGTTAATCCACCTAACCTACGCATCCCTGGACACTATAGGCAATTTAACATGGCCAATCCACCTAACCAGCACATCTTTGGATTGTGAGAGGAAACTGGAGCACCCGTAGGAAACCCACCCAGACACAGGGAGAACATGCAAACTCCACACAGACAGTCGCCCAAGGGCGGAATTGAACCCGGATCGCCGGCACTGTGAGGCAGCAGTGCTAACCACTGAGCCACCGTGCCACCGATAGAGAGGAGACAGGAGGCCTCAATGAGTGGTAGTTGTAGTAACAGCCTGACAGAGCAGGGGTGTCATACCAGGCAGGAATAATCATCAGTAAAGCTCCTAAATGAGGGAATGGATGGGTGAGTGAATGCATGGGTAAATGGGTGAGTGAATGCATGCATAGGTGAATGGGTAGGTGTGGGTGAATGAGTGGGCATGTGAGTCAGATGGAATTGGACATATAGCCATTCTTTGCCTCCTTCTCCTGGCTCCAAAGAGCAGGCTGGGAGAAGAGGAAAACCCAGGTTGAAAGACAACCTATATTTGTAGAAGTTGCACTCTGCTGAGAGTGTGCCCCAGCCCCAGAGGTAAACCAAAAAGTTAGTTTAGTTTAGTTAAATCCAATTCCTTAGTTCAGTTCCAGTCCCTATTCCCTGTTGATCTGGTGTTTTGACCTCTCTTGCTTATAGCCTCGTCTTTAGCTCTATTTCTCAATCAAATAGGCAGAGAAAGATGAGATAACTGCACAGAGGACAGTATCCTGTCACTAAGTTACCCTTTATTTACATGTGCTCTGTACATTGGCTGCAACCAGCCATCTGAGAGTCAATCCCTAGACTGAGCGGACCTTCTGAATCTCCTGATTATATTTGTCAGCCAGGGGTCCCTGATTGGCTCAGGTTAAAATCCCCAATCAGGGAATTCATAGTCAATGAGATTATCTGGCTATGGTTCCAACCACTACAAAACATTTAATTAGTTAGCTCTGCTGCTTGGCACTTTTATCAATTATTCATTTTTATTAGTTACTGGGAGAAGGCACTGGTGATAACACTGGACAAATAATCCAGACTAATGTTCTGGAGACAGAGATTGGAATCTGACCATGACAGATGGTGAAATTTGAATTTAATAAAAACCTAGCCTAATGGGGACTGCTGTATTAAAAACCCAACTTGTTCACTAAGTCCTTTTGGGAAGGAAATCTACCATCTAAAGAAAAACAAAATGTGTGAACACAGGAAAATAATAATTCTAGTTTTACTTTCAGTGTTTAATTATGAAATCTGTTGAGAATTTCCGTGATACACATTTCAAAAAAACATCATTAAAAGTAGATATTGTCAGCTGACT